AATGGCTGGGGAGGAACATTATACCTCCTGTCCCATTGCAAATATTTAAAGCACAGGGAGAGTTTTGTTTCATGTGAAAGCATCACTGGTGTATAAACTCAAAGTAATCTTTCCCATCGCAAGGTGGTAGAGAAGGAAAATACACAGCTTGTACAGATTTATTTTTAACTTGGTCTGATATGTGCTCCAGTTAAATGAATGCTGGAATAACAAATATTTGTATACAATTCCACAGAAGCTGCAGAGCTCACCCTGAGTGCACGCAGTATAGATATATTGATATACACAAATATTTGTTATTTCAGCAAGTAATTTAATAAGCAGAAATAATATTAAACAAAAATTGTAATAATGTTAAAGAAACCATTTCTGCTTTTTATATAAACCAGATATTTAATATGTTACTATTTGTGGTTTATTGAATGAAATGCGATGAAGTCCAGGGAAATATAGGCAAGAAGTACTTATGCTGCCTGAAGGTAGTTTTTTGTTCCCCGGTGGTTTTTTTTTAATAGCTATCTGTCAATCTATATAACTGTCAATCTATATAATAACACATATATAGCTATTTAGATATTATATATAATATATAACACATAATATATAAAATAATATCTATAATATGGTTATATATAATATATTCAAATGTAATATATAATAGATAACTATATTGAATATATTACATATATTTAACTGTAATAATAAGTTGTAATATAACTATATATAACAATACATAGTTAGAAAATTGTCAATATAAATAACTGTCAATATATATGATACAATATTTCTGTATTTAAGGTTCCTGTAAATTGTTTGAGATATGAAAGAGCAGGGTAGCCAGGTGAGGTGGTGTGTGCTGTGGGTGGAGGAGGGCTTCTGATCGTTGGATGCTTCTGAAAGACGGGGAAGAGAACTGCCCATGCCCTTTCTCAGGCGTATGCGTAGGGCTGTGTCTGTGCACTAACAGGGTTCAGGAGAAGCAGGTAAAAACTGGGATGGTTTTTTTTGTAGCTTCTGGGACATATCTGGTTTTATACAGTGGCAGAAAAAGACATTTTGAAATTCCCATTTAACAGGTCTTATCTGGATGCTTAGAAGTCCTGCTGTGAATCCATTTTTCATGCCAGGAGGATATATTTAATGAGCTGCTACGGTGCCGTTGTGGCCAAGGCTAAATGGGAAGGAATTTAAACAGCACTCATGGATATATATATCTCCTTTCCCTTTGCATGGATTTCAAGTTTAATCATTTAATAGAGATGTTACTCATCCTTTCTCTGTTAGCGTGCCCAACTCAGCTGTGTTTATGACTCTGCAAAATTATTTTTTTATATATTTAAAAGCTTTAAAATCAGATATAACTTCTGCTCTCGTGTCACTAGCTTGTTTTCAATTGAACGTTTTCAGCTGCACCTGATTTGATTTACTTGTTTGTGTTATAAAAACACAGACTAGCCACATAAAAATGACTGGGCAGGTTAAAAGAATAAAGAAGAATTGAGCAGTGCCAATATTAGATCAGCAACTGAGATATTCTGGAAAGACTGACAATTTTTTTTTAATCCATTTACAGAAGTTTTACAAAAACATGAAGACTATTTACTGTAATGCCTGAAATACCTGCATTTCTGTTCTGCTTTCTGTCCTTTGAATATTTTAATGCTTTCAGGATACGCATGCACTGTTTATTGAAAGAATAACTGTAGTATTTTTAAGAATACAGAATATATATTCTATATATAGAATATAGAGACAATATAAATGTAGACCATAAAATAATAATAAAATAATAATAATAACAACAGATTATTGCCACATGTAATTTTTGACCTCTGTTACAATTCCTTGCCTGATGATTCGCGGGGGTGGGCACACCATAGGTAACGCTTTGTACTTAAACCCATAGATCTGCAAAAACCTTCCTGTCCTATTCAAAAGCCTTTTGTCTTTGTCCAGTTTTTGCGGTGTCTCCTTTTGTCATTTAAGATGACATCATTTGTTTACTGCTGACGTGAGGGTTTGGGGTTATATATAAAATCCCATTATTTTCCTTTCTAGGTATGGATGTTCCTTGCTGTGGGGAGGAGGGTGACAGTGGGAGACAGGAGAAGGCTGGTCCATCCTCGGAAGGCAAAGAGGAATAAATGAGGGACTCTCGTTTGCCAGGACATGGTGGCTGGGGTGACACTGTGACGGGTGACGCCGTTACCCATTTCTCTCCCTCCATGAATCCGGGCACCATGCCATTAGCAGAGAGATGCACAGAAATATTTTCCCATTAGTTTTCATGGTGGAAGCTTCCCTTTTCCCCCACATGCCATAACACAGCATCCCTGACCCTTGGTATCATCATTGTGCTCTCAGCACAGTGACGAGGTAGCAAAGAAGACCAAAGAAGTTGCAGGTATCAGGGGACTGGGCTAATTTTCTCAGACATAAAAGCATCTTTTTATTAGTGTTTCTGTTTCTTTCTTATATATGCTCCGGGAAAAAAGTCTATGAAATGGGAGGAGATTTTTTTCCCACCGGCTCTCGCAGTTGTGAAACCTGCTGCTAAAATCTCTCTGAGGTTTACTGTCTTAAAACACCCTACTGATAATTACAGGATTTACTGCAGTATTTTTTATCTTGTTTCCATTGGCAAACTGCCCAAACCTGTGTTTCAACAGGACAGGTAGCATCCTTGAGTGTTGCTGTCCTCTCCTGTTTTCACTGCACACAGATGATGTGGAGTTTGGTTTTCTTCTATTTTTTTTTATTTTTTTCAAATGACAAAGGAGCAACAAAGCTGAATTGGGGAATTGAGCAAATTCTTTGCTGCCTTTTACAGTTATTCCCGGGGGTGGGCAGAGAGCCGAGGGGTAAATCCCCATCCTTTGAACGAGTGTTATTGGAATTGGGATAATCCAGTGGCTGAAGTCTATCAGGGTATCCCATTTGAGAGGAGGATTGGGCTGTTGCAGCCTGCCTTTCGCTGCCCAGACCTGGCGCTGGCTGCTTGGCCGTGGGAGGCCAGATCCTGTGCTGGCTGAGAGGTGAAGCAGGGATGGACATTAAGGTCAGGATGCCTCAAGCGTGGGAAAGTGAGCTGGGATTTCAAAAGCAGCTGGAGGCAGAGGGAAAACCCCCTGGTTTTGAAAGAATAAACCTTTGCCCATGGGAAGTTTCAAAGGGGTTTCCCGATAGCTGTCCTGTAAAAATACATATAATAAAAATAACCTGCTCCTGGGGCGAAGATCTGCACACCGAGTCCTTGCAGGGTAGAAAAATGGTGGGTTTAGTTCATTTGAGCTTTCCCAGAGGCTAAAATATGCTGCTGGTATGATGTGTCGAAGGCAGAGATGCTTGGGGACCACCCCTGCAGCATCCCTGGTGGGATGGGGTCTGGGATCGCCTGAGTGCCTGCGTGAGCATCACAGCCCGGGACGGCCAGCTCGGCGTGCACCACTGCTGGCTTTATTAGTGTGTCATTTAGGGGAAACATCCATCTCAAGGAGTGCCCGTGGCCTGCTTTCAGACCAAGCCCTCTAGAAAAATTTATATTAAAGTGGAGAGCGGCAGCTCCCTGGGGCTGGGAGGGGAGGGAGGGTAAGGCCAGAGGGATGCTGCTGTGCGACTGCGATGCTTTACAGCCACACAAGCTCTTCCCACGCCTGCGTTTGCCCAGGATCTTGGGACTTTGGAGCCACGCGAGTCCTTAGCTTGTGGGCAGCTGTAAGGACACACACAATGTGCAGTACAGGACATCCCCGCTGCTTCCCCAGCAGTAAAAATAGCTGGGGGAAGGAGGTATCTGGGCCACCTTCCCCTTGCACTCACTGCAGGTGATACAGCCTTCCCCTGGTGCCCATGTTGGAGCAGAGATGTGGGGCTGGGGATGCATCCGAGAGCGAGCATCCACAGTCTGCGCTCAGCAAGGTGCCGAATTTCCAGCCCCACATCAGCCTTGCAGCCCCGGGGCAGCGGCTGAGCCTTGTTAACATCCCTGGGGAGACCTGCCCTGCTTCTGGCATCGCTCAGGGCTCAGCACCCCCAGGTGTCAATCAGGGCCAGCGCATCACTCGGGGCTCAGCACACGTGAGCGTCGCTTAAGGGCTCAGCACCCACGGGCATCGCTCGGGGCTCAGCACCCACAGGCATCGCTCGGGGCAATTCTCGCCGGCTGTGCCGCGCTGCTGGGCTCAGCACCAGCCCCCCGCCACCGTTCTTTGCTCTCAGGAGCGGTGCTGGCCTTCAGGCTGAGCCAGGTGTTTGGCCTTGGGTACATCGCTTTGTCTGGCTTTCCTCTCCCACTCTTGGCTGTTTGCAATCTCCTGCTATCTGTCTCCCGGGAGAAGATACCCTCCCAGACCTGCTATCCACAGAGCTGTTTTTCTGCTTTAACTCTTGCTTGGGCAGAGGCCGTGGCTCCTTGCTCGCCACGCAGCCATGTCCCACATCGAGCGCAGCCACAAGACACCAGCCTGCAGAGCAAAACACTCAATATTTCTAACCAACATGCCTGTACAGAGCCTTTACAAGCTGCACAGTGACCTGCCCCTGCTGTCTGCCGGTTGGTCTCAAAGTGTTCGTTAGCAAAGTCTGATCAACCAGCGTTAGCAGGAGCAAACGAAAAGCACCCGTGAGCTGTGCCATGGGTGAACAGAGAGGAGAGACAAGAAGATCCCAAAGCATCTTTCCAGACCATCTGAATTCCTTTGGTACACCAGCCCCGGTGCCCCTGGTGCAGAGCCAGCCGTGGTGTTTGCCCTGCTCAGCACCCTTTGAGAAATGCTCAGCACGCTGCAGAATCTGGCCCGGTCCTTTTGCCAGCCATTGGATCACGGAAAAATATTAAAGTCATGGTCTGTCACAGGAAAGAAATGTCTGTCTTGCAGTGCAAGCCCACGTCCGTCCCATGCAATGTCCTTCCTGGGTCACATCCAGGCAGGGCTCAGCATCGTGCGGGGGGGGTCCGTAGCTTCTCCCTGCCTGCTCGAGACGGGGGGAGCCAGCGGGATTTACTGCCTGTGGATGCGAAGCCACAGCCTCCTCCGCAGACCTGGGGAGAGATGGTGTCCATCAGCCCCGGGACCTCCTCCTAGGTCCCCATCCTGCTCCCGGGCTGTCCCGGGGCCTGACCCCTCTCATGGTCCCCCAGGGCTGGCAGCATGCTTACGGTGGAGGCGGTGGGCGGTGGGGACCAGGCTCAGCAGGAGGACCAGGACGCTGGTGGCCAGGGGGACCCAGACCAGGGGGCTGCAGGCACCTGGAAAGCAGGAGGAGACATGGTGTGGATGCTCAGCACCCAGCATCATCCTGCTCTGGCAGCTTTAGGGGATGGAGTGTGGGGTGGGAAAGGGAGAAAAGCAAGGCAGGTCCTTAGAGGAAGGGTGGAGGACATGACTATCGCTCTGGGGTATCCCTTGGAAGATGCATGACACCTGAAGGCATTGCAGGGAACTTAGCTATGAGTCACGATAACCTAAATGGAAATGTATTCTGGCCCCTAAACCCTTGTATATTCCAGGGAACCACTCCTAAAGGCAGAGGTCAGCTCCATCCAGAGCACTGGCTCTAGGTGGACCCAGATGCCCACCCTGCAGGGTCACGTTGTGGTTGCCCCCACCCCAGGACAAACTCCAGCTGAACCCTGGGGACCCCAGAAACTCTGCAAACCCCTTTTGCAAGCCCACCCGGTGCCGTACCTTTCTTGTCAGCACCTTTGCTTTTGGTTATGCACCGCACGGGCTTTTTGGAGAGTGGTGCCTGAGTGGTCTTTGGAGGCAGAGGCAGAACATCAACTGGTGGATAAAGAGGAGAAGAGGATGGTCAATATGGCACCGAGTGCAGTGGAGATCTCAAACAGCAGGCAAGAAGGGCTGGAAATTTTGGCTTTTAAAATGAGCCCCATCCAGCGACCCCTGCAAAGGGCTGGGTTATCTGGAGGGGCTGGGAGCTTGACCTGATCCTCTTGGTGGCCACAGAAGTTGCCAACAGCTTGTAAAAGTGTTAATAAAGCAATGTACTAGGCAAACAAGGCCAGAAGGCTAAGGCAGAGAAAAAGGAAACTTCTTTGAGCTACATTTACTGCCAGGCACCATCTCATCAGCGTTGCACAAAATCACAGGTAGCAGGAGATTTCAGTAGCACTGGAAGGTTTTAAAGGATCCCTGGATCTTTTCCATATTCAGATTGCTCTAATCTTTGCTCAAAATTGGATTTTTTTTTTTTTTTTTCCTGATAAAATAAGGGCAGGATTTATTATGGTGTATCTAAATTACAATGGAGTACATACATCTCTGTAAAGTTGGTCAGGAAAATATCCCACTAATGTCGTCAAATAGCTGTACACCTGACCACTCGAACTCCACTTATTCAAAACTTTGGGTGATTGAAAACTATTTTTTTTCTGCTTCTATCCGGGACTGAAATTCCTACGGAAACCACCGTTCTTTTACATGGAAAGATGAGACATCAGGTGACTGGGATTTATCTGGACAACTTCTCCCTTACTTTATAATAAACTTAAAGAAAAGGAACTTAAAAGACAATTTGTTTTATCATGTGTACTAAATGAAAAAAAGAAAATACCCAGCAAGGCCTGAGTAATCTCAAAACACCTGTTGGCGTTTAGTTTTAAATTGGACTGTCCTTGATCATGCTGAATTTCAACCCTGTTTTTCATCCTTTGCTTTGCACATAGATATGTGCCCAGTTGATAAAAACCAGTTCTCATTTATCTCAAACCAGCTTTTCTTTGAGCCAGCAAGAAATCAAAAGGAATTTCTCAGCCAGCTCAAGGTGAAGGGCTTATTTGCGAAAAAAAACCCCAAACCAAAACCAGAAAGGTTGGGACACAGGAGATGCTTTAGAGCCAGCAGCCATAGCTGCATCTTGGTTAAATAAGTTATTTGTTTCCCTAAAAGTCTGCAAAAGAAGAGCTGAATCTTACTTCAAACGCATTGGTTTTTCTATACCACCTCCTGCTTGGTGGTCAAGGGGAAAATGCTGCTGTCTGACCCAGGGTCTGTAAAGCATCATTCCCCCAATGCCACCCACAGATCACTCTGATTTCTGGCTGGAGCTCCCCAGTGATGGTCGGTTGTGAGCTTTGAGGAATAAACCCCAATTCAATCCTTTATGTGAAGGACAGGCCTGAAACCTGCAGTCAGATCCACCCCAGCGATGCGAGGGGTGATGTCCTCTGTCCTTGATACTGCTCTTGCCACTTGGAGGAAAGGTAAGGGAAAACCGGGAGCTGAGCAGGGCACACATCCAGCCTCTCATCCAAAGTACTAGAGGGGATGAAGAAAATGCAGGGCATGGCAATACTGGGGGCTGAGCATCTTCCCATGGAAATCCTAAGATGCTAGGACCAACGCAGTGCTCAAGGCATGACCACAGCAGAGCAATTGCTGGTGGCAAAAGGACTGTCACATGCAGCTGACCTAAAATGTAGCTATTTTCTGTATTTTCTGCCTCATCTGGTCTCATAGGTCTCTTCAGAAAAACCCCAGAGCCCTAACCCTGCACCTCAAAATTGCAAAGGGTCTTCCAACATGCATCACCCCTCACCCTGGGGACCTCATCACAGCCTGCCGGTGGCACATTTTGGAGCCCCAGGGGTGATGCTTACCCACACTGAGCTGCGTTCCACTGCCCAGGAGGAGCTGGGAGGACTGGGAGATGGAGCAGTAATAGGTGCCGTTGTCCGAGGCATGGAGGTTACTGATGTGCAGGCTGTAAGAGCTGCGGGAACTTGCCCCAGGGACACTAAACTTGGCCTTACTGATGTTTGCGCCGTATACAGCTTTGCCAAATGGGTTGGAAAATACCAAGAACTCGAAATTTTGCTTCTCCTGGCTCCAGCGGTACCAGTACACCCCAGCATGCTCTGTCTTCAGCTCACAGAGGATTTCTGTTTTATTGTTAGTCTGGGCTAAAATACGGCGTGGAGTCTTGGATAAAAGTAGATTTGTAGAGAAACCTAAGAAAAAGACATAAATACAGAGTTATTATTTTCTTTTCATTGATGTTCTTCCATGCTAAGTACAGATTTTCTTTGTGGAATTAATAAGGTCAAGTAGTCACAGAGCAGGGGATCATACAAGCAAGAAACGGGAGCATCTTTATCAGGAACCTCAACCCATAGTCCCTCAGAGGCCTTTTTGGGTTGCCCAGCTATTTTTTGGTCAAGCCTAGTTATACAGGTAGATTTTTGCCCCATAAATACTCATCTAGGGAGGAGGCTCAGTGGCAGGGAGAGAGATGGAGGGATGATTTTGATGGTGTCCCCGGGGCTGTATGCCCAGGGAAGGGCATCCCCACCTGCTCCTGCAGATGTCCCTCTCCCACCCTCCCTTTTCTCTCTCATTTTTCAGAGAGGCTTCACCTCGCTTTCAACAGATTTTTTTTGAGCCTCTAAACTTATTTGCCAGATTTTTGTTCTAACAGAAGCAACACTGACAAACTTCACATGGCATCTCAGATACAGAAAAAGACCAAAAAACATGCAAAACATCTCAAAATGAGCCAGTTTGATATTAGTTTTCAGACGACATTAGTTTTGTATGAATTTTGAGACCTGGGAAGGAAAGGGAGTGAGACGCAGCGGTGGGGTTGAAAGCTTCCATTTGGCATCGCATCGCTGTGTTTGGGCTTTGCAGCTTTTGTAGAAATTGTCTATCTGAATCATGTTTGGCCCAGGCAGATGTAAGCGGTGTCTGTGAGCGAGGATGTGTCCTTGTGAAAAGAGTAACAGGTGACTCGTGATCCTTTCTGTTTGGCAAACAGTCCTACAAAGCTGCAGATAACCCGAGACCGAGTGAAAAATGGCCCTGTGGAGATAAGGATGCTCTCGCTTCCCCCGTCTCTTTCCCAGGCGTGTTTTAAAGCTGTGCGAAAAGCTCAACAAAACACATTTTTTGGCTTTTCAAACCTTAAAATGTCCCTATTCCTTCAAAATCCCAAAGCTGCTTACCGTAGTTGTTGCAAACAGCCTCGTGCCTCCCTGCAAACCCAGTGGTGCGGGAATGGGTTTGCATGACCACAAAGACACCTGAAGCCATCCTTGTTGGCCCATGGCCCTGATGTCCCCCATGTCCCTGATGGGGACAGGCAGAGGAGAGGGCTCTGGTGACTGACACAGGTCCAGACCCTTCCTCTGTCCCTGCACCGATGACCCCATCGGCTGCCGACACGCTGCAGAGACGAGCAGGCTTCAGCCCTAATATTGCAATGCCGAAATTCAGGCATTGGCACAGCAGCCGCAGCATTTCACCACATCCTCTGGTGCTGTGACAATATAAATGACTCCTTGTTATTAAAATACAAATTTCCAGGTTTTGGAGTGCAATCCTCTCAAACTTCGCTCTGGCAAACACCTGTGTGGGGTTTTTTTTTAGGGGATGAATGTGTGTGGCCATGGGCATCGTGGCTTCAGGGTCTCCTTGGCTGCCCTGAGGTCTGGCTCCGCTGGGCAACTTAACGCCCCAAGGAGAACCTTTTCCTCGAGCTGTGGGAGAGATTATTAGATGAATCAGAATGGATGAGAAGGGATCCTGGGAAATGCTCAGCTCAGCTCTGAGCCAGTGGTCAAGCTCCAGTGGGGTGAGCTGGGATGGAGCCAGAGCAGAAAAATCTCATCCTCTACCACACCTTCATCCCCCAAAACCTCCCTGTGCCCTTCCCCAGTGTATATTCTCACGGAGGAACATGGAGAATCAGGGTCGGATGGGTTTGTTTCCACGTGCTTGCCAGACCAGCCTGCAGCAGCTCAAAAACAGTCTCTTTCCCCTTTGCATGTGCAGAGCAAACTCTAAATTATTGGGGTTTTCTCAGCGGGGACTCCTCTGTACAGATCTATAGGATAGTACTACCTGTATAGAGGTGTCGATAAAGCGCCTTGGGCTGTTTGCTGCCAGACAGGCCATGTTATGCCGTGGCTGGATGACCATCACAGGACACGAACAAAACACCCTGCAGTCTTGGCAGCCTCTAGTGAGGATGCTGAGCAGCTGTGGACCCGCTTTGGGCATTGTCCCAGGGGACCAACTTGAGCTGCCACCCTAATATATACATTTAATGGGTGTTTCAAGCTCTCAACTTTTTCCACCTAAGAACCGATGGCACAATTTGTCCTGTAAAGCGTAATTCTACCACCTTGCCGTGACATCAACTGTATATATTCAGTCCAGACCTCCTGCAACCTGTCTGCAATAAGTTGAAGGCAGTATGGTTTTATAACACGCTGATTCCAGCTGTGGCCCTTGGGAAACGTTCAGTCCTTGGATAGATTTAGAAGAAAATTTGATGGGATGTTTACTGTCTTCATGTTACACAGGCAGCGTAGAGAGGTGCTACTTTAACTTCTCCATCAGCAGCTTCCCACAGTCCGTCTGCACTAAAAGAGTGCAGTAAAAACAAACTCTGCAGTGTCTATACCATTATAAATGGCACTATAAACAGAATAGAATAGAGTAGAGAGTAGAATAGAATAGAATAGAATAGAATAGAATAGAATATTTCAGTTGGAAGGGACCTACAACGATCATCTAGTCCAACTGCCTGACCACTTCAGGGCTGACCAAAAGCTAAAGCACAGTATTGATGACATTGTCCAAAATTATGGGTTGAAAGGTAGTATTATCCTGTAGCTCTATACTATGCCTGTATATTTAAACTTCCATCATCCAGATGCTGTGCAACGAATCCCACATGCTGGAGTGGGCTGGAGAAGAGGCTCCAGTGTGATTTTAGCTGCCCTCAACCCTTAAGAGACGTGTCCCTCTTACCTGGGATCTGCAGGCAGATGCAGAGATGGAGCCACAGCCGGGCCATGGCGGTGGAGCCAACAACGGAGGGGTTTTGTGCCAGTTCCCCCTTTCCACACACAGTCACCTCTTGGTTGTGGGGCTAGCTTCACCCCAGGAGGTTCTCGTCCGTCTTGGTACAGATGTCTCGCCGATGGCTGCCAAAAAGCGTCTGCCGCGGCAGCACCCGGAGCCTCAGCCCAGCAGCTGCTTCTGTGCTGAGCACCCGAACCAGGTGTGCGCCAGGGCGGCAGCCCCACGCGCTTCTCCAGCACTGCACGAGATCCCCTGAAATCCCCTTTAGGAAGAAAAAAATGAAAGCTCATTGATTTTGAATTATGATTTCTTCATATTTCATCACCTAGCTTTTTTCCGCCTTCTTTTAATCTAGTCCCGTGCAATTAAAAAATGACAAATGTAGGAGCTTGGCATTAAAAATAAAAGCAGGAAAGGATGAATTTTGGCTGGTTTCTCCTCTGATGAAATAAAAATGCATTCAAAATAAGGAAAAGATGCAATGTGAGCCGTGGGGTTGTTTTCTTCAGCAGAACCTTTAGCAGGAGGTGTTTTTCTCCAGGCCTGGAAAATGCTGAACGCCAAACTAGCTCACCATAAAGCAGAGGCGTGAGGCATCACAGAAAACTTTGAAGCCAAGAGCAAGAAACCTCAAACAAATTTAGTGGCTGAAAAACCACAAAAATAAGGAAATTCTGGTGGGGCTCCCCACCTTGCAGCGGGCGCTGCTTTGGTAGCTGTGACCGTGCCTGGCTCATATGCAGAAATATTTAAATGATAGACAAAATATCAGAGGGGCTTTGAAATGTCTTTGGGAGGAAGAGGTTTGAAGGACTCGGGGTTTAGGATTGAAAGAGTGAAATACGTGATGTGAAATTACAGGGGTGAACTGATGTCAGCAGCCTTCAGTATTTCCATGTTTGGGAAAAAAAATTACATTATTTATTATTTTTATTTATTCACTGCCCCCTTGACTGCCAAATGGGGTTTGGTTTTCTTTCATGCCCTACTTGTGCAGATACTCATGGTCCTTACAAAGTCTCAGCATCTCCCGGGGGCTGGCTCCGGGGGGGGGGGGGGTTTCCTGGGGGGGTCTCACGTGGGGGCACTGAGAAACCTCCCCTGGGGTTTGAGTTGGCGGACGAATCGGAAAAACGATTTTGCATCTCATGCAGTGCAATTTTTTGGTCCATTTTGCACCAGATTTTTCCATGCTGCTCTAACACATCCCCTCCGCATTTCTGTTTAAAATAATTTCCTGCTCAAAGCAGGTTGCTAACCACTAAAAGCCTTGCAACGAAGGGCTCCGCTGCTAAAATTTAGGGTCGGCTGAATCGCTCCTTAACTCTTTGCTGGCAGGAGAAAGTAATTTCAGTGCTTTCAAATGCATTTCAGTGCTTTCAAGGGCTCGTTTTCAGAGCTGAGCCCCCGGTTTCTCCCCTCCTTACCTCCTGCTTGCCTTTCCCCTCGCTCCCACACTGGGACCCCTCCAGAACTGGGTGTAGGCACCTCTTTTTGGGGGGAGGAGGGGTGTGGGTTTGCTTAATATGAGAAATGCCACTGCAAGCGAATTTTCCCTTTATCCCCATGGTGAAGTCGGTGAGCTGAGCTCGATGTCCCTGAGTGCTGCAATGGCTGCATCCCCCTTTTCTCACTGCTGCTGTCACCTGGAGCATCTTCTGGCCTCCTGGCCAAGACCAAAGTGCTCCCAGAGGTGGCTTCTGTCACCATTGCAACCTTGGACATAGGGTATGTTACACTAGGTGACACTGGGTTGTCTAAGCAGGTATTTTGGCTTGGGAGGATTCCCCAGGCCATTATCACAGCTTTAGGGATGCTTGCCTGCAGTGCTTTTACCTATAGGGTGTCTCCTATGGAAAGAAAAAGGAATATTTGCAATGTAAAAGCATAGTGTGTGTGCTGGAAGAGGGATTCATTTTCAATTTTTTTTTTTAAGCTGCTGTTTATATGCCGTTGAGCTATTTACTGGCAGCCAAGCTGTTCTCAGGACTGGATGGTGCTCCTACAAGAAAACATTTTGGAGATGGAATGCCTTTGTCTGGCAGCATATCGCTGACAAAAATAAAAGCACTGTGGGAATGTGCAGGCGAGCAGGTGCTGTTTATAACATCCCCACATTGTTTGGGGCTGCTGTTCTGGGAAGAAAATAGGGGAGGAAAAAACGGTGTTAGTTGAACTATCTGTTAATACAAGCAAGATCTGTTGGTGACCTTGCTGGGGTACAGAGGCTCCTCATCACGAGTGTTTGGCTCACAGCTGGGGCAAGATTTGGGAGACTGCTGAATTTTAGTGTATTAGTGTTATTTGGTTGCTCAATTTCTAGGGGGAATTTATTCTTTTTCTAAAAAGAAAGACAACCATCCCGGTCCCCAGCCCAGCCACCTCCCTGCCCCATCTTGGTGCTCTCCCTGTGGGTCTCCTCCTCGCACATCCCAGGGGGAAATAGCCCCTCTTCTTTTTCTCAGCCCACATTTCGGGTACCTCACCACACCGACATTAATTTCCTGTGCTTTCACCAGCTTTGTTACATTTTCAACTCCTAATTTTCTCCCTATGTTGGGTTTCTTACAGCAAAGTGTTTGCTCTCAGGGGGTTGGAGCAAAGCAATGGGGCAGGAGAAAGTGGTCTACAGACAAGAAGCAAGACCTCTCTGGGGTTTGTATCTCGGCTAAACTCCCATGTTGCAGCAGAGGTAATTGCAGCTGGGCTGTAAATGCCAGGCTGGAGGAACAGTTGTCATAAAAAATAAGGAAAAATCTGTTCCTGCTGTGCTTTCTGGGATACAAGGGCTGATTTTGGGGATCAGGGAGGACTGCTCAGTCTGAAACCTGGTCCAACACAGCCAGTACTGCAGGACCTAGAAATAAGGGCCCACTGGGGATAATGGGCTTCTGGATGGAAACTCTGCAGGACTCAAGCAGCCACGGGTGAACAATTTTTTGCTTTTAAAATTTTTTTAAATGATTTTATTCCGGGGAAGGGTGTAGCTTCTGGAGTATTTCGTTAGGGGGAAAAGCAGCAATGAAAATGATAGCATTTTCACCGAGTACTACCTTTTTCTTAGTGTAATAGCAGAAACAAAATCAAGGGGGTCAAGTTTTCTTTTCTAAACTGCTCTGAGCTAAGATGTGGTTTGTAGGGCGAGGTTGGGGGGGTGTCTGTCTGCCTCTGCAGGTGCAGATTTACAGCCGTACTTCAGCTGATGCAATTTCACAGTTGAGGCTCCTGACATGTCGCGGGATCCCCCCAAGGTATACGCCAGCGTGCAGTGGGCTGGTGTGCGGCATGGAAAGGAGCTGCTTTTGAAGTCCAGAAGCCAAAATGGACCTAATCTACAAATTGTATGAATTTTCCTGCCATCTCGTCTCTCCCCAGCAAGCAACCTGTGCTTGGAGGGGGAGCTTTGGGGAACTGTGTGTGTTACAGGTGTCAGGTGTGAGCCCCCTGTGCGATCTCCCCCCAAAACCCAGGTGCTTACGGTGTGTGCAGCAAGCGAGGAGGCCTTGGGGGGACTTTGGGAGGATGGATGCTGAGGGGACAGGCTCCAGCTCTCCCTCTTCAGGGCACTTGGTGTAAGCAGAGGGCAGCATAAGCAAGCTGTGACTAATTCTGGGCCCTGCCAAAACAGATAAGGGGCAGAGCAGCTGCTGCCATGTGATGCCAGCCTCCCTAATCAGTGCCAAAGAGGATAAGGAAAGACAAGGAAAGTGTCCTTGGGAAGGCAGGGGGAGGGATGCGGCACCTGCAGGCGGACAAGCCACCGAGGACGTAAGCAGAGGCCAAACAACAACCTGCCAGAGGTATAAAAATCCACCGGAGCGAGACCTCGCAACCGCCTTGACTTTAAAGGTGTCGAATCTACAGGAGCTCTGCAGCAACCGTCTCCAGGTGCCCAGGACTGCCAGGACATCCAGCCAAGGATTGGTGAGATCTTATTATTGGGGTCATACTACGCCTCTGCTTCCCTTTGCCTCTTCCCGCACCCCTTCCCCGTCCCCTTCCCCGGGAGCCGGCGGGTCGCGGCGGCGGTCCGCTCGGCCGCGGCCACCCGTCCCCACCTTCCCCTTCCCTTGCTACCACGCTTGGCATCCCCCCGGGGAGGCTTTTCGGAGGGGTGGGTCGCAGCCTTCCTCTGCGGGTGGTGCTGGTGTTATGGTAGCTTTGCCCTGAGACGGAGCTGTCTCTGATCTCGTTCCCCTCACCATGATGACCGACATCGTTAGCAACTGGAAGCTGGAGCAGTTTGTGCTCCAGAAGTGTCTCCCCCCAGTTTGGTCTCCGGGGTCGTTCCAGGGCCCGGAGGCGTACCAGCAGCTGTGCCAGCAGTGGGAGAGCTGGTCGGAGGAGACCAAAAAGCCCAAACCCACAAACAAGTGCAAGAAGCGAGCAGCTTTGCAGGGTTTGTTGATGGTGGGCAGGGAGTTGTCCAAATTGCTGAAGGAGGCTCTTGAGAGCGTGCAGAAGTTGGAGCAGGCTAAGGGTGAGCTCAAAATGCAGGTGGACAACCTGCAGGCAGAGGTGCAGGGTTTGTGCGGGGACTCTCTGCGGAGCGCGGTGGAGATCACCCGGCTGGAGAGCAAGCTGGGTTACGAGAAGCTGAAAACGGAGGAGCTAGAGAAGGAGGTTGGCAAGTGGATCGGGGAGACTCACGATGCGCAGAGCGCGGTGCGGGCGGTCCTGCAGGACGTCCAGAGGGACCGGGGCACTGGCCCCGATCACAAGGTGTGCCACGCCAAGATCCAGGAGCTGCAGGCGGAGTTGGGGGTGTCAAGGGGCATCGTGGCTGCCATCCAAGGCAAGAGGAACCGGTTTGGGAATGGGGAGGGGGAGGACTCCCTGGACCCGCACTCGCCTCACTACGACTACGAGGATGATGTGTGGGGTGCCAACGGCCCCACCAGGCCATCCCCCTACGCTCCCCTGCGGGAGGAGATGTGCCAGCTGCAAGGAGGGGAGGTGGAGGCTTCCAAAATAAAAAAGAGCCCCCCCGATGAGCCGGTCGGCCATGCCCCGCTCCAGGCCATAGACACCAACAGGGCCGTGCTCTGGTTTACCCCTGAGCAGCTCAAGACGGTGGGGAAGATGCTGGGGCCGTTGACAAAGGAGACAGCGGTCAACTGGCTGTCCAGGGCTCAGCGGCTGCCCAGGTGCCAGAGCGGCAACTCGGTGAGTGACCTGATAGATATCGTGAGAAAGTGCATGAAACCGGACGATTTTGCGGTGCTGCCGGGGGACGTGCAGATGGGCAATGTGCAGGACATCAGGGATGTCCAGTTGGCCGTGCTGAAGGTGTTCTTCCCAGAGGTCAACCCCTTAGTGCTCTTCCACCAGGAGAAGCAAAACCCCGAGGAGCGGCCGGACGCCTATGTTAACCGTAAGAAGATGCTCTACCAGATGGCCGGGCTGCCTGGCTCAAAGGAGTCCCCCCTCAATTTTGATAGGCCCGAATTCAAGGAGCCGCTGGTGGTGGGGCTGACCCCCCCGTTGCGGGTGATTGCTGGTGGGGATGCGGCCAGAAAGCCGCTGTCAGAGCTGGAGCAGATCCTGACCCAGAATTTTGAGCTGCAAAAGCAGGCGTTCCCAGGGTACATGCTGGGGGGGAAGAAAGGGAAAACCTCAGCCGTGTCCTTCCAAAATCCGGGGATGAGAAAAATGCAAGGAGACAACCGAAAAGATCTCGATGGCAAGGGTGGTTTGGGGAAGGAGAACCAGCAGGGGCTGAGGTTTCAAAAGTCCAACCCTTGGCGGGCTGAGCTGAGGAAGCGCTTGATAAAATACGAGAAGCAGGAGGATATCGATGGCTTGCCGGATGCGGAGCTCTTCCGAAAACTGGCCCTGCACGAGACCAAAAAGCACAGCAGCTCCAACCCGATTGACCCGGGGTCTAAGGCTCAGCAATAGGGCTGCCAGGCACCCGCATCGCCCCTTTTTGTGGCACCGATTAAGACCGATTCATGGGGGCGCCTGATAGTTGATACAACTATTGGAGGAGGGGTGCTTGGACAAGTGATGTTAATTGATACTGGTGCCTCTTATTCGATTCTGAGTATGACCCCCGGCGAAGCCGGGCTCTTCCAAACTTGCGAAATTATTGAATTGACAGGGCCGAACGGCCAAAAATCCTCAGTGCCGTTCACAGGGCCCGTACCCTTTGAAATTGGGACTGCCAAAGGGTCTGAAAAATTTGGGAAAATGGAAATTAAGGGAAAGCCAGGAATTTTGGCAATCTCTGCGCTGACAAAGATGGGGGTGGTGGTGGACCTGGCAAACCAAGCGCTATTACGCTGCCCCCAAAGCGATGTGCCCATCATCCCGGCAAGCCACAGGGTGATGGCGGTGAAAGCCCCCGAGCTCCTGGTCCACCCTCAGTGGGAGCCCCGGGTGAAACGGGTCACAGAGCAATTCCCCCAGGTCTGGGCGAGGAACAAGCTAGACTGTGGGCAGATCGATGCTGTCGTGGCAGTCAAAGGGCCAGATCCCCCTCCTCAGCCACAGCCCCGATACCCGTCTGAGGCTGAGGACGGCTTGTGGGACACAGTCAAAACCTTGTTGGAGCAGGGGGTGCTGGTGGAGCAGCAGAGTACCAGCAACGCCCTGGTGTGGCCCCTGCGGAAAGCTGACGGGAAAACGTGGAGGCTGACGGTCGACTTCAGCGCCCTGAACCATGTCACCCCACTGCGGACCTCCGCGGTGGCCAAGTACCCCAACATCATGGCAGCCATCTCCCGGGGGTCCGAGTGGTTCTCGGTGCTCAGCTTGACCAGCCCGTCCTTCGCCATCCCCTTGCACCCCGACTCCCGGCACAAGTTTGCCTTCACCTTTCGAGGACGGCAGTTTGCCTTTGCCAGGGTCCCCCCGGGCTTTCACAATGCCCCCGCCATCTGCCACGTGCATGTGGCGAGGATGTGGGAGAAGCTCGGTCACCGGGACAGCGTGCTGTCCTGTGCCGGTGACGTCCTCATCCACACCCGGACGAAGGAGGAGAACCTGGAGGTGCTGGCGGAGGTGCTGGAGGCTGTCCAGAAGACAGGCTTCAGGATCAGCCCCATGAAGGCCCAGCTGTGCTGGAAGGAGGTATCCTACATGGGGGTGACCCTGGGGGAGGAAGGGCTCTCTCTGGAGAAGCAGAGGGTTGAGCTAATACAGAAGGTGTCGGCGCCGGCCGATGCCACCACCCTGAGGTCCTTCCTGGCTCTCCTGAGGTTCTCCCGGGAGTTTGTTGAGGGTTATGCGGAGAAAGCTGCCCCCCTCTGCCACCTCCTGAAGAAGGACATCCCCTGGCAATGGGGACCAGAGCAGGACGAGGCGGTGAAAATCTTAAAAGAGAGCGTGGCACAAGCCCCCACGCTGGCGCATCCCCGGCGGGACAGACCCTACGTCCTGCAGCTGGTCAGCACGGGGAAGGGGCTGCGGGCCACCCTGAGCCAGCAGCAGGGTGCCCACCTCCTTCCCATTGCCCACACCTCGCGCCTCCTGACACCGGCCGAGCAGCAGTTCACCGACTACGAGAGGGAGGTTTTAGCCTTGACCTGGGCCCTGCAGCACTGGGAGTACCTGGTGGGGTCGTCCCCGGCGCTGCTGAAGACCTCCCGTGCCCCGGCGAGGTACCTCTTGTCAGGCAAGGGGGACGAGGGTCCCCTGCGCTGCCCCAGGATGGCCAACTGGGTGTTGGCATTGACCGACAAGGAGGTCCCCGGGGAGGTCGGGGAGCCCTCGTCTGGCGCCTTCAGGGTGGTAATTAGTGGAGAGAGGGACAGGGAGGAGCCGGGGGGTCCCCCAGCCGAGCCCAAGCTGCGGCGGGCACCCCTTTTTGAGAGCAGCCTCAGCCTGGAGGAGGCCAAGGAGAAAGGTTACGTTGTGTGGTTTGTAGATGGGTCCAACTACCACGAGGAAGGGGTGTCCTACACGGGCTACGCTGCCGTCAACCGGGGCACTGGGGAGGTGGTGAAGGGGAAGTGCCTGCCGCACTCCATCCAGGCTGCCGAGCTGGTGGCCGTGACGGCCGCCCTGGAAAACACGCCGGCAGACCGGCCGCTGGCCATATTTTCGGACTCGGGTTGGGTGGTGCGGGCGGTGCTGGAGTGGCTGCCGCTCTGGAGGGAGAGGGACATGCAGTCCGCCGACGGCAAGCCCATCACCTACGCCAAAAAGCTGCTGTACCTTGCGAGGCTGGCGGAGCAGAGGGTGCCCCCAGCCCAGATCGTTAAGGTCAAGGCCCACAAGAAGGGAACGGAGGAAGCCAGGTGGAACAAGGAGGCAGACGCCAAAGCCAAGCAGGGCGCGAAGGAAGGGCTGATGTGGAAGGCCAGCAAGCTCGTGGAGAACGGCTCCGTGTCGGTGGCTCCCAGCAGACACTGGGAGAGCGTGGACCTGCTGGGCTTGCAGGCACAAGATCCCAGCATCCAGGAGTTAGCGCGGGGCAGGGAGTATAAAGGGTGCAAGGTGTGGAAGGATGTCTCGGGGTTAGTCCTGGCGCGGAAGGAGGGGACGGACTTCCCGGTCTGGGTGGTGCCTGAACTCGTCCGGACGGAGCTGGTGGCCCTGGCTCACGAGCAGGGGCATCTGGGGACAGACAAGACCATGGTGAGGTTGCAGGGTGCTGGGTGGTGGCCCGAAATGAGAGAGGACGTGGAGAGGTATGTCAGCAACTGCCTGATGTGCGCGGCCAACAATCCCGACGCCAAAACGGCCAAAGCTCTCCTGGGCCACCAGAGGATTTCTGGGCCGTGGAGCAAGTTGCAGATTGAGTTTATCGGCCCTTTGCCCCAGACAGCCCAAGGGAACAGGTATTGCCTAGTGATCAGCGATAACTTCACCAAGTGGGTGGAAGCGTTTCCAGCTCGAAACAACACGGCTGGCACAACCGCGAAGATCCTGGTAGAGCATGTCTTCTCACGGTGGGGCACCCCCAAGGAGATCTACTCGGACCTCGGCCAGCGCTTCATTGGAGAAGTCACAAAAGGGGTGTGCCAAGCCCTGGGTATCAAGCAGAAACTTCACATCATGGGGCATTTCCAGAAGCCCAGCTCGGAGGAGGGGCCCAATCAACCACTGAAGATGGCACTGAGGAAGCTCGTGAACCAGCAAAGGAAGGACTGGGATAGGAAGCTCCCACTGGTCCTGCTGGCGTTACGGGGGGCCATGGCATCTCAAGCGCCTTCTTCCCAAAAGCTGCCTCCTGCAAGAGACCTGAGGCTGCCGGGACACTGGTGGCAAAGAGGGGAGCCGCCGGATGAACTGCAGCCCCGCGTGCTGATGGACAGGTGGGTCCAGGACCTCCTGAGGACGGTGTCGGCTACGTACCACCAGCTCTCCTTGGTGCAGGAGACCAACATCCCCAAGATAGATAAGCAGCTGGGAGCACTGCTGCGCCCCGTGGAGTGGAACATGGGGGACCTGGTAACGTATCGGGGGGTTAGAGAGAAGAACCAGGTGCTGGAATCCCAATGGATGGGGCCCGTTAGGGTTGTGAACAAGGCGAGCCCCTCCATGTACCAGGTAGAAATCAGAAAGGGGGTGAAAAGGCAGGAAAAATGGCTCCATTCTTCGCAATTAAAAGCATGGAAGGGAAATTAACGGGGCTGGAAAGCCCGTCTTGCTTATGTTTTGCAGATAAAGGAAAATGGAAGGCAATTGTGACCAGCGGGAAGGGCGAACTTCGTGGCATCATCAGCCCTGTTTGCGCTGCGGGGAAAATGCTTTCAAATTTCTGGTTGCAGGATTTGCTTTGCTTTCTGGTATGTGCATAGCGCTGAGCACCCAACATGCCCAACCAATCCATCAGCATCTCAGACAAAGAGTCAGTCGTTCCCACTTAGAAAGGCACCCCGAAACATGGGCCACAGCCCAGCACAGGGTTAGGAGGTACACAAAAATTGAGACCGATTGGCCCTGGTCTCAAGCTCACATAAAATACACGGGAAGCATGGGTTTGAAGTCTAACAAAGGCTTAAATTTGTTAACGGTGGTTATGCATGGGACAGAGGTGTACTTGGAAAATGAGTGGAACTGGGATAGCACAAACAGACTCCCGCAGCTGCTGGGGAAGGTGGGACAAGAAATAAAGGTAGGGTGCAGGGTAATTAATGGATCCACTCACCAACGGGTAACTCAAATCTCCATAACTGAAGTAAAAACTAAAAAGAATCAGAGACAAACCTGTGCCATAGAAAAATTGGACTGTTGGTGCAATTTTACCTTGGTCCAGCCAGTCTTTGTGGTCTGCCTCTGGGCCCAGAACAGCATGGGGCTGTCCTTTAAATTCAAGATTAACACCGCGATGAACTCCTTTGCTGCTGTTAAGATCGCGAAGTGCCATTTTTTGGCCTGGCATGCAGCCCAATACACTGAAGTTGGCAACCAGGTAAAATTGGAAATTAAATACTCCCAGGAAAGTATAACTGATCCGATGCAAATCAATGGTTCCACCGTGACTATCGGTGCCCCTAACGGCTTCAAGTGGGTCGTGCCAGTAAACTGCCTCCGGGAGAGCAAAATGTTTCATAGATCCGAATTAGGTGCGGAGGCTTCATGGTATAATCAGGACTACGGGGACTGTCCACACCTGGTCATAAACCTCCAGGTATGGTGTCAAGGAAACCTGAGCGTCAAAATGTCCCCCGAGCTTGGAGGAAAGTGGTGGATAGGAGGCCCTGACGGATTTAAAAAAGAGTTTACTATCATATCTGTCTTGCAACCTTTTGTTTCCAAAATAGGCCCTTATGTAGTCAAGCAAAATCACATCCAAGAGCTGTTGACTGGGCCTGTCCGATCACTGAAGAAGGTGGTGTTGTCCCTGTCCACCGTTAACATCTCATCCGTCAGACCACACTGTACCCCCTTCCTATCCACCCTCAACACTGGCTGGCAGGCATGGCTCCACAGCCGCTCCATCCAGGGGACCCGGGCCAGAAGAGACCTGCTGGCCACGGCACTGGGAGGAGGAGGCGCCGGGCTGGGGGTCCTCAACAGCATGAATGTTGAGGTCTTGGCCAACAAGTTGGAGGCTGTCACCTCAGGCGTGCAGGGCCTCCTCAACCCCCTAAATTCATCCCTGGCCAGCCTTGGGATGGGGCAGTGGCTCGTGTCGGAGGTGTTGCCCACCTGGGAACAAATAAGTGAGAAAGACCATCAGGTGCTGTTGCGAGCACTGGGCATCGAACAAAGTAACGTCTCTCTTGCTCTTAGTTGCATCCAGGCCCAGATGTGGGTGCAGAGTGTTGTTGCAGGTATCCTGAGAGATGGCGACAACGGCATCCTCCCCACTGAGATCCGAAAGATCGTGTGGGATGCGGCCACAGAGAAGGAGCGGCAGCTCCAAGCCTGGTGGAGGCTTGTCAACTTCACCCACGACCAGGTCCTCAACGCAGTCATCGCCCACGTCCTGACTGTGGCAGAGGCTCGCATCGAAAAGGTCTACCCCATCGTGGCGCTGGGCGTTAACACAAATGGGTCTGTGGTCTACCCCTTGGACCACCGCATGTGGGCGAGGGTGTCTCATGGGAAATGGCAATCGGTAGATTTGGAAGCCTGCATTTTGGAAAGGGGGCTGGGATTCATATGCGAAGATGATGCCCTTAAGGCAAGCGATGTTTGCTTTGACACCAAAGAAGGGGTGTGTCATTTTGAGATCAACCCCCAGAGCAGCAATAAAACCGTGTTAGTGTACGTAGGGAAAGGGTGCGTGTGTTTTAGAACGAGGTGTAAACACGTGCAAATTAATGAATTTTATAATCAGACTGTGTTTAATGATTCAAATATGTGTGCTTGCAATGTAGCTACTATTAGAGGCTGTGATTTTGTGTATAAACCACCCGTGTTTACTAGGCAGTTGCTAATCAGAAACTATACCTTGTATCGTAGTATAACCCCGACCCCCATTGGTATGGATTTGTCACTTGTAAAAGAAATGTTAGAGCATGCGGATTTACAGCAGCTGTTAGAAAATGCCAAGACAGAAGCTAAAAAGATCCTAATAACTGTACATCATGATGGCAATGTTATAAAACAGGTAATGGAACGAATTAAGAGGGTGGGAGAACACCACTGGTGGGAAATTTTCTTTGGCTGGTCCCCCACGGCCACCGGCATCTTCAACATGCTGCTGCACCCCATTGTAGTTATAGTGCTAATGCAAATCTGCGTGTGCTTTGCCATGGTAGCAACTTGTTACTGGATCAGGCAGGTAAAGCTCCACATTGACAATCAGGAGAAAGGACAGCGGCTGGCCAAGAAACTCCTACCATAGTCAAGGGCAAGACTGGGTTGGCCTCTGTGTTTGCCACCAAGAAGAACTTTTAGCTCCGCTGTTGGCTGCAACCCAGTAGGCGTTGAGCGGTGGGGACACATGCCATACCAGACCTTGATGTGAGGGATGGCCTTCTCTGTTAGAAGAGGGCCATCCGGGAGGAGAGGGCAGGCCAAGCAGCCTGCGCTTGGCATGAATCACAGAATGGTTGAAGTTGGAAGGGACCTCTTGAGATCATCTAGTCCAACCCCACCTGCTTAAGCAGGGTCACCTAGAGCAGATTGCCCAGGACTGTCTCCAGTTGGGCTTCGACGATCTCCACAGATGGAGACTCCACAACCTCTCTGGGCAAACCTGTTCCAGTATTTGATCACCCGCATAGTAAAAAAGCAAGAGTTAGCATAAGTAAGTTTTCTTTGAACCTCCCACCCCCAAATGCTAATGTGAAGAAGTTGCTCCTGTGTGATTTAAGACTCCTTAAGCAGAGGTGAAGGGGCTAAGGAAAGCCAAGGACAATGTCTTTGGAAGGAAAGAGAAGGGAACGTTAACGCCTGAGCAAGGAAAAGCACCCACTGAAGATGGCAGAGGTGTTACCAGCCTCAAAGACTTGGAAAGACGATAAAAGATGAGCAGAATGAAAAACCTGTAATCACCTTGGACTTAAAGGAGCTGAATCCACATGGACCTTTGCAGCAGCTATCTCTGGGTTCCCAAGACTCCCAGGACGCCTGGCCAACGGACTGGTGAGATCTTGTTTTCAGAACCTGGACATCACTGCTTTGCTTTGCCTAGTTGTGCATATACTCAATAAAATTTTTCTGTTAGAGGATGGACTGTCTATTCAATCGCCACCTGCTCAGCTGCTCACTACCCAGGCTTGTAACTTCACTATACTGGTAAAGTGAAATTCTGGTAAAAAGAAAAGATGTGGGTTTTTTTCCCTTTTATAAGCCAAAATCCCTCACTTGCTTTTTGTCTGCAGAATATTCACTGAAACACAAAGATTTCTGCCTTGGGCTGAAGACTGGGACTCTGAGCTGGTGCACAAACCCACTCCCCTCTTCCATTCTGCCTCTCCCCACCCACCTCACCTCCCTGCCTCTGAATCCAGAAGGAATATACATAGGGGGTCTCAAACAATTTAAAAACATTGGAAATTGCAAAAACTAGATTACCGCCTCATTTGCAGCCCACGTGTCTGATCTCACCTCAGAGGCACTGCTCTCTCTGAGAACTGGGGGGGGGGATTCTGCAGACAAAAGGCCCTTTGCAATCCAGGCTGAAATAAAAAGATTAAAGAACTGGCCTTTAACCCAGTAGGAACTACTGGGCTAGCTCGAGAAATTAGTTTAAAACCCCACTTTTCACAATCACCAGGCTGGGACGCACAAAGAAACAGCATATTGCCACAGCATACTTTTTTTAAAGAAAAGTGAAACTTCAATATATGGGTTTGATAAAGACACTTCTCCTTAAGAAGCACACATTATAACTGAGCTCATGAAAATGTGAATAAATAAATCACTGTCTAAAACCACAGAAACCCTTTTTCCCCCTGCAAGCACCACGAAAACACCCCTTTCACCCTTAGGACGGGAGGTTGAACTCTCCCCCCAGCCCTCCCACCCACCTGGGAAAGGGCCGGTGCCCTCTGTGCTCTGCTGTTCCCTTCATATTACCCATAACAAAGCCTCACAGAAAACATATTGTTATTTTGGTTAAAGCACCTTTCTTACTTGCTAACACCTTACATGTCTCACGAGAATTAATTTCCCTGTGAATAATTACCCCTTTACACAAAGCCTTTACCCCTCTAACCTGTTTTGGGAGCCTGGAGGGGGGAAAAGGAACCACAGAAAATTCACATTATCCACTCTGCAGTCCCAAACTTGCACTGGGACAGTGTGGCACAGCAGGGGTTGGCCCCGGGATGGTGGTAGAGCCATAGGGAAAGGAGTTCCTACATCTACACGCAGGTTTTAGCTGAATGCAGACCCCTGCACAGCTGCTGGATGCGGCAGCAGCATCCTCTGCAGCTGCAACGAGCTGCTGCCCTCTGCAGAACCAGCACATGCATGCATGTAGGTTTGGAAGGTTTGCAAAACTGACATTTTCTGCGCTTTTTTGTGTCACTTGTTTATCACCACAAACCGAGGAGGGTTGTTTTCTCGGCAACAGCAGTGTCGCTGTGGCTGCGAAAACTTTGGGTGCAGCTGGGGGCAGGACCTTGAGCCACAGGTTTTGTCTGCTTTTCCAGTTGTTTCATAAAAGATTCTACCCAAACTTGCCTGCCTTTCTGAGCCAAATGTGTAATGTGATTGGATTTATTCCGTTTATATCCCTGTCCTCTGTGCTCTGGAGCGGCAGGGAGTCTGCCTGTGCAGAGCATGCAAGTTGTGGCCTGTGGAAACCCCCAACCCATCCGCAACGCACCAGCCTTCCTCGGTTCCAACCAGGTAGATCAAAGAGGTGGTTTTCAGAGCTAGCCCAGCCTGGCTGCCTCCGCTTTAGGCTGAGAAGATCAATGTGAGCAGGTCATTAGCCCCACTGGTCTAGTCCTGGTGGTAGTAATTCAGATTAACTTTTGAAAAACTAGGGGCTAACGTGTGGAATTTTGACTCAAGTGGAAGAAGTGCTGTAAAAATAACCCTTGGTGGTGACAGCAGAAATGCTGGGGTCCTCTGGAGAGTCTAAGAAGAACCCACAAGGGACGGAAAGGTACCAAACACATAATTTAACCCAAGAAGCCTGTCCTCCAGAGGATCTGCTTATCTCTGGATACGTCTCATGGAACTTCAGGGATACTCTATTATTTCTCTTCGGTACCTGCTGCAGAGAATCCTGCCAGTTTTGGGATGTGCTCTGCAGCCACGTGGAGGTGCCACTGCATGTCCTCACTCCATGTGAGCAGTCACGGAGAGTCTCCATCTCCTCTGAAGCAAAGGTGAGGGGCTACATGGAGATATCTGGATCGTGGCCGCATGGGGCCACCTCCAGAGCCAGTCCTGGGGTAAAGACCTAACAGCTACCCTGAACCTATGTGGGAATACATCCCACATTGGCTCAAATCAAATGCAGAAGGAATTTGAGCCTGGGTTTTCCCCTAGCTAGGCTTGTATTTGAGTGTGTTGCTCAGAAAAAGCTCAGACTTTGATTACCCAGCCCCAAACATGTTAGCATCATTGTATTTTCATGAAAATGTTCAAAAAAAGCTTGGAATTTTTTTCAGGGAGTTCTTCCTCTGAAGCCCTGAAGACTGTCAAGGTTAATTTCCTAACTCCTCAGGCAGGGCCAGGCTGGCAGATGCCTGTCTGTCTGTCTGAGCTCTCTGTCACAGCTGCCTCCCCAAACCCATCATCAGCATTTGACCAATGTCACTCTCCAGCATAAACTTTGCCTTTCAGACTCAAGGCTTGGCCACAGCTCTCCTTTTTCTACTCTTTCCCTCTCTAACTTTTATCCCCTTCCTCCACCAGGTGCTTTCCACCTTCCTTAACACCAGTTTTCTTGCTTCTTGAGCACAACTGTCACTCAAAATCATCCTTCAGGACTCCTGGCTTTGAGCACAACATTGCAAAGCTCTCTTCCTTCACCCAGCACCTACAAGGTGCCTGCATATTCACAGAGAGGGGATTCATCTGGCTTAAAACCTCTCGGTGCTGATGTCTTTCAAACCTCATGCATTTTGTAAGCCACTGCACGTCAAAGGAATTCTATAAAAGCAAAAGTAGTAGCAGGCAGATTGATACCCTGGAGGGTTCGATCTCGATGCAGCACTTGACTGTCTGCTGCAGTGCTCAGGTTATGACCCCTCTGTAAGATAACTTTAATGGCTGAGAACAAACATTTTACTCCCATAAGCCCTGCACAGTGGTGAGGCAAGCTGTCCCCCAGTTCTTTTTGCTCCCAGGAGTGTTACTCCACCCCAGAGCACGCCAGGTGATTCACAGAGAAGCTGGATACTAGCCCCACCTATTTACACTCTGTAAATTTACTGTAGACATGACCCAGTATAGCAGAGCAGTAAGAAGGGAAGAGCGAGAAAGCCCCAGGGACAGTGATACAATCAGAGGGTGATGTACTGCAGCATGCTATATCCTGGCTCATCGCAATTTATTATGTATGGGCAGGATGGAAAAAATGAGTTTTAGGAGGTGCAATAAAGAAGAGCATCAGGGCTCAGAGGCACAATGAGGAGAGTTGGTTTGAGAGCCAAAAAGCTGAGACGCTCATCTGGGATATGGGACAGATTCTGGCTTGTGTTGACTTTTCTTCGGCTTTGTAGAGTCCCAGAGAAATTCTGTGATGCGCCAGCACTCAAGTGTGAAGGGAGATGCTTGATTTATTCCTCACAGCAGGCTCAGGAAGCAATCAGATATACATCAGCCTAGCTGAGAAGGGGTCATGAATAACTCAGCAGGGAGTTAGTTTACTCTTAGGAGTGGTGAAATGACTGAAGTTATATCCCGCAGAGGGAAATGGAGGGAATTCTTATGGGTTCACTCATTTTCTTGAAAAATGAAACACAATGGAAACAATTTCCAATTTTGAGAGAGATCTAGCATTGGCACGACTGTCGAGTTTGGCAAAGCTTACATAAGACAGTGTAATTAAGAATTAGGCAGTCTACAGCATGGGGCAATCAAAATGTCCTTGTTCCTCCAGCTGTTCTCAGCATTTTCACCAGTGGATGAGAGTCACAGGTACCCGGAAAAAGAACGGAAAGACACAAGGTTACTTGGAATAGTGCAGGCTAGAAGATATCAGGGAAAAAATGAACTTTCAACCATGTTTCCCTTTCTTCCCAGCATCTCTAGAAGTAATGCAAGGCTTTATTCCATCGAGAGGAACAGGAAGTTGGTGATATCTGCAGAATTGAAGGTGGATATGCCATTTGACCTGATCCGAGAGCAGAAAGCAGCTGTAGGGCATGGACCTACGAGGTGAGCGATGGTGTGCACCTACAGCACATTGGCTGCCCTGTGGAAACTGCTCTCTCCAGGCTTGTACCACAGGGTGTGCACAGAGTGACTTCTCCCTCAATCATACTGAGGTATGTTACTCATATTGGTCCTGGGCCAAGAGTACAAAATTGGCCAGCAAACCCATGACCTGTTTTGTCTCCTGATAACTTCTCTGTGCAGCTGGACACAGATTTACAGGCCCGGCCCTCCCACCTCATTTGGCCACATGGGCTCTGTCCCCTGTATGTCCATGGAGGCTGCACCGGTCCATGCATGGTCACCAACCTGCATTGTACATATATCCCCCTTTCCACCCCTCAAACAGATGAAGGCTTGTCCAGTATGATATTGAAGGTCCTGGCTGATACCAGCACAGCAAGAAAGGAAAATGGGAATAAAAATTCCCTATCTTTGGCAATATGCAGTCAGTACTTTAATAGAAACCTTTATTTAGCTTATTCATGCAATTCCAGCAAATTATTCTAGTATCATCCTTCCAAATGCATTCAAAGGACACAGGCTTGCATAGCAATATGCTCTGCACTTAGTGTATCTTCTATAAGACAAATGTGTTTTGCCTGTGTATACTGACACAAATATTTTCAGAAACCCATATATCATCAGGCATTACTGGGGACAGAGGAAAGCAGCAAAGACAGACTCACCTCACTGTCAGAGCCAAGTGTCATTCAGTGGGGAGAGAGAGACAAATCCCCATGGCTTATGCAGCAAGCACTCCCAAGGAAGAGAGGGTAGACACTGACCTTTACAGATTTCCTCAGCCACCCTTAAATTGATTAAAGACCAGAAGTTTCAAACCTGGAGGCCTAACACAATGCACCCAAATCTCTTCTTAAACAG